ACTGGACTGGGGATTGAACCCAGGGGTGCTTTACCACTAAGCTACATCCTCAGCCCTTTTTGTTTTTTATTTTGAAACAGGGTCTTGCTCTGTTGCCCAGGCTGGCCTGGACCTTGAGATCTTCCTGCCTCAGCTTCCTGAGTTGCTGGGATGCAGGTGTGTGCCACCACACCCAGCTATGTTTAGCTTTTTGAGAAACCAGAACCCTTATATCTCTCTGCCATCCATAGGCTAATAGAAAAACATATAAGCCTGTCTTGGGAAGAAAAGAAATAACTGCCACAACATAACTTTAAATTGCAAATGATAAAATTATCAGCTAAGAGACTTAGGCTGGCTCTCAGGGGTACAGTCTCACCTGTATATTGTAACGTGTGTTTACAGAATTATGTGGCAATATGGAAAATCTGAATATGAACAGGGATCCACACAGTCTATGCCGAATGATTTAGGAAGTGCAGAATGCTTATTTTTTGCAAGACTCAATATCAGGCTTCCAGAGGGATAGATGGAAATATTTAAAAAAGAGATGTTCTTCTTCTCATGAGTTATTAGGAGTCTAATTGGTATAATAAGACCAACTTAGTGAAAAACTGTTTAATAATTAATTACGGATTTAAATACAAGTTCAAGATAGTAATTGAAGCAAAGTGTGATGGCACATGCATATAATCTCAGCATCTGGGAGACTGAGGTAGGAGGTTGGTAAGTTTGAGGTCAGTCTCAGCTATTTAGCAAGATCCTCAGCAACTTATCGAGATCTGTCTCAAATAATAATAATAGTAATAATAATAGCAACAACGATGATGACTAGACTGGGGTGTAGTTCAGGAGTAAGGTGTCCCTAGTTTCAACTCCCCAATCAAAAGAAAGGCAAGGGGAAAATAGATAAGGTACCCCTCTCTCTCTTCTCTCTCTCTCTCTCTCTCTCCCTCCCTCCCTCCCTCTCTCTCTCCGAATGAATCCAGGGATGCTTTGCCACTGAGATACATCCCCAGCTCTTTTTATTGTTTATTTTGAGACAGGATCTCACTAAGTTGCTGAGGTTGGCCACAAATTTGTGATCCTCTTGTCTCAGCCTCCACATGCTGGGGTTAGAGGCATGTGCCATCATACCAGCCTTATTATTTCTCTTTCAGGATCCTGGGAGAAAACAGAAATCCAGTGTGCACTCTTTGATAATTTTGGGCATCCCAAAGATGTAAAATTTCTCATTTTTATTACCGTCTTGGAAATCTTAGATCAAAAAAGAAGTATTAGATTATAAATCATCAGGACCACTGAACTAGATAAATAGTAATAATTACCAATATTTGAGAACTTAATGTACCAGGCATTCTTTAAACATGTTTAATAACTTTATGATATAAATAGTGATATAAATACCATCTTCTTTTAATGATAAGGAAAATGAGAATCAGAGAGTAAAGAGGCCAAAGACATACAGATAGAAAGTGGCAGAATGGAGTTTGAATACAGGCAGTCCAGAGCTTATACATTTGAGTATCTCAGTTTTCACATTCTAGACATTGGCTTCGATCTCCAATTATAATTGGAGGAAATAGACACAAAGGTGTTGAGGGACTTCCCGTAGAGACAAGAGTCCCATTACCTGCTATTCCAGTCTATTTCTGTAAAGACTAATATTGGCTAGGTGCAGATGTGCACATCTATAATCCCAGCTACATGGGAGGCTAAGGCAGGAGGATCCACAAGTTTGAGGCCAGCCTGGGTGATGTATCCAGAGTCTGTCTCAAAATAAAAAAAGAATGCTGGGCACAGTTGAGTATGCCTATAATCCCAGGGACTCAGGAGGCTGAGGCAGAAGATTGCAAGTTCAAGGCCAGGTTTAACAATTTAGTGAGGCCTTAAGCAATTTAGATCCTGTTTCAAATAAAAATAAAAAGTGATGGGGGATAATATGAAGTGGTAAAGCACTCCTGGATTAAATCTCCAGTAACTATTCCCCACACACCAAAACTCAAAGGGGCTATAGATATAGCTCAGTGGTAGAGAGCTACTGTGTTCAGTCCTCAGCAGGAAAAAGAGAAAAAAAGACTAATATTGGGTATCACCAAAAAGCCCTGTCTTAAAATGCTATTTGGAAGTGAGCCAGAAGGATCCACATTTACTGAAATCTGGCAGGATGAACTAGAGGAAAAAGCTCTTGATGTATACAATAAGGCAATCTGAATTCAAAGCCGCATTTTATTCGCTGACTCTATTAGGGTAGGCAAGCCACAACCTTTGAGCTCCAGTTTCTTTACCTCTGATCTGGGGGCAATAATCACCTCCATTTACAGGATTACAGGAATGAGAAGAAATAATTGAGGAAACTGACAGCCGTGATTCATTTGGGGGCTGTGGGGATATTGGGGGAGGGGGGTCATTCGGTGCTGAAGTGTATGGAGTGCTGCATAAGCTGAGATTTCTCAATTCCAGAATGGAATGCAGATTGCTCACAGGTTGCTACAGAGAATTCCGAATTGCAAACTGGGTGCGGTGGTGCACACCTATAATCTCAGCTACTTGGGAGAATTGCATTTTTTTTTTTTTTTGTACCAGGGATTAAATCCAGGGCACTTAACCACTGAGACACATCCCCAGCCACTTTTTAACTTTTTTTTTTTTTTTTTTTTGAGATAAGGTCTGAGTTGCTTAGGGCCTGACTAAATTGATAAAACTGGTTTTGAAAATGTGATCATCCTGCTGGAGATGTGGCTCAAGCGGTAGCACGCTCGCCTGGCATGCGTGTGGCCCGTGTTGGATCCTCAGCACCACATACCAACAAAGATGTTGTGTCTGCCCAAAAACTAAAAAATAAATATTAAAAAAAAAAAAAAAGAAATTGTGATCACCTGACTCAGCCTCCCAAGCCTCTGGGATTATAGGTGAGTGCCACTCTGGCTAGTGACATGCTTTCTATGATAAGTTATGCAGCTTTTTGTTGGTGGTGGTTTGTTAGTTTTGTGGTGCTGAATATCAAACACAGGGCCTCATGTTCTACCACAGAGCCACACTTCCAGTCCTGCGACTCTTGTTAAGAGACTCTTAATGGTGACTGGTCAAGAGTTTGTTTTCTGACCAAGCAAATGTTTGTGATTTTGCATCTGATGGAGTGCACACTGCACTTGCCAACTTGCACAGGGCCAGAGGCCAGGTAGAGGCCGCTCAGGTGAGAAGGTTTACATGCAGGTTGCAGTTCAATAGTGAATCTCAAAGCTAGGTTGAGCCTGGGCATGAGTATTTTTAGGGAGTTACTCAGATAATTCTAATGTGCAGCCAGGGTTGAGTACCACTGACCTAGGTGAAAGGGCTTGTGCCAGGGTCTAATTCAAAGCACTGATAGGGATGCAAGACCAAGGGCTCTTGTAGCCCCAATTGACTGGTTTTAGAATGGGTATCTGCATAGGCATAGTGAAGAATGAGGCTAGAGTAGGTATTATAGGGGCCTGAAATGCACAGATGGAAGTTTATATCAAATTTAAGAGGCAATAGGGAGCCATGGAAGATGATTGAGCAGTGATGTCAGTGGGTAGAAGTATAGCTTGTGTGTCCCTTATCCAAAATGTTTGGTATCAGAATTGTTTAGGATTTCCGATTTTGAAATATTTGCATATACATAATGAGATATCTTAGGGACAGGATCCAAGTCTAACAACAAAATTCATTTGTTTCACATCCACCTTAAGCATATAGCCTGAAGGTAATTTCATATATTTTTAATGTACCTGCATTTCGCCTGTGACCCATCACATGAATTCAATTGTGGGATTTTCCACTTGTGGCATCATATTGGTATTCAAAAAGTTTTGAATTTTGGATCATTTGGGACTTCAGACTTTTTTTTTTTTGGATTAGAAATGCTCAATTTGCAAACACAGATATAAAAGCACCCAGCAAATTACAGTTTAGGAAATGTATTTTATTTTTCCATATAGAGTAAGCTAGCAAGAAACCAACCTTTCTTCCTCCTCTGTGGTCCAAGGTCAATTCTGTTCAGCACCTGAGGTCCAGGAATCCCTTGAGAGCAGGAACTTTTCCAAATGATGTCTGTAGTACCTTACACATTGCACGGGACATGACAGTTTCCTAACTAGGATTTGTTGACTGACCAAATGAGTGTCGCCTCATCAGTTGGCAGGTCTAGATTCCCGCAGCTCTGTACCCTGAACTGGCTTTCATTTGCATGGAAAGCTAAGGGCACTGATTCTCTCACCTTTCGCCTTTCTTCCGTTTATCCCATCGACCCGATTCCAATTCTACCAACTCCGACTCCATCTCCCTCTCCTCCCAGCCTCTTCCCTCCAATACGACACGGTGCCTCCCGGCATCTCCGCTCAGGCGCCAGGGTTCAAACCTGTCTTTCACCCATTGTTCAGTTTCTGGTGAGTCCAGTTCAACCCCAGGTTCAACCACTACAATGACGGTCACAAACACGTTCCTCCACAGACACCTTGATGGCAGAGCGCGTCGGTCCGCCACCCAGCACCAGGCCTGCGAAACAGGCACGGAGGGGCGTTTCCCTCCCAGAGGCACTGGGTGGCGGGGGCATGCGTGGGAGCCCCCCTCCCCAGTGACTTGGCCCCTCTGCGAGCTGGCGCCCAGCCCTCGGCGGGCGTGGCCGCCCTGGCCCAGCCCCCGTCCCGCCCCCCGTCATCTCCCAGAGAGTCCCCGCCCGGCCACCCGGCCGCCAGCCCCTCTCCACGTCCGCCCGGCCCCTCCCTCCCTCTCTCGCCGCCGAGTCCCGCGGAGGGGGGATGCTCCGGGTCCCACCTCCCCAGGGAGCTGCGCATTTCGGCGCACCAGGGCGGCCCTGGCTCCGGCCGGCCCTGGCGGCGACAGCCCGCGTTCCGCGTCCCCGGGAAGTTGTCTCCGGAGCCCGGGGCCCCTGGGTCTCCTCCCCCTGAGCCCCGCCCCCTCGCCCGGAGCTGGGATCTGCAAGCTGCCCGGCCCGGGGGCGTCGCCGCTCGCTCGGCGAAGCCAGCGAGTGTCGGCTTCTCTGCGCGGATCGCGCGTCCCCTGCCTGACCGCGGACCCCCGCGCACCCCCGACACGGCGCGCGCTCAGAGCGCGGGAGCCCGGGGCTCCGGGCGCCTGGGATCCCGCGGAGCCGCTGCCCAGCCCGCGGGGCTCGGCAGGGATGCAGTCTGCGCTGTGAGCSCAGGCGCAAAGGCCATGTCCGGCACCCGCTGCCGGACCCTTTACCCCTTCTCCGGGGAGCGGCATGGCCAGGGGCTCCGCTTCGCCGCGGGCGAGCTTATCACGCTGCTGCAAGTCCCGGACGGAGGCTGGTGGGAAGGCGAGAAGGAGGACGGGCTCCGCGGCTGGTTCCCGGCAAGCTACGTGCAGTTGCTGGAGGTAAGGGGCGAGGGCCAGGGTGGAAAGACCCCYCCGGCTGAGGTCCCTCGGGTGCTGGCATACCTGTTGACCACAGCGGGGATCTGCTGCTGTCCCTGTAGAGGGACGCCCCAGGGGCAGATCTGCTCGACCCACCGACCTGCAACTCTGCGTTCCTGGGGGCGGAGAAGGCAGCGCGCACCCCTGCCGGCGTGGGCATCGCGAGCTCCACCGGAGCGCTCCCCTCGCGCCGGGCCTCCCGAGCCCATTGGCCGCTCCGAAGAAGCTAGAACTTGTTGCCTGTGCGAGTTCTGGAACAGGCGGGCGCGGTGCCGGCGGTGGCAGGGCCCGCTTAAGGGCTGCACAGACCTGGTGGTCTTGGGAAGACACAGGGAGAACCCCGGGGTTCTGAGAAGTAGCCCGGCTTGTCCACCCTGGATCCCGGAGCCCGCTGACCCGTGGACACAGTTGTGCTGTCCCGGGTCAGACTGCCTGGCCGCCTCTGGGCCGTCCACTTGCTGGTCCGCGGAGCTTTACTGGCCACCAGTGGGAGCCTCATCCATCAGCGGTCTTATTTCAGGGGTGCGGCAGCCCCCAGCCAGAGCCCCCTCCACTGGGCTCAAAACCTGAAAGTGCTATTTCCTGGGGTTCTGGCTTGGCCCCAGGGCTACCCAGGACCTGCTGAACAGAGTCAGCTGGCTGTTTATTGTCTGGGTGACAATTGGGAGGCCTCACTATTCTGTAATCACAGAGATCATGGTCAGTGATTACTGAGATCAGGGCCTGAGTGAGTGAGATCCAAAGTTTCTGAAGTCCCCTGTGTGTGTGTGTGTGTGTGTGTGTGTGTGTGTGTGTGTTGGGGGTATGTGTGACTTTACAGGACACCCCCTTTTCTAAAAGGCTGCCTGACCCCAGGACAAATTAATGCTCTAAAGACAAAATTAATGTTCACCCCCCCCAATTGTGTTTAAGTATCAGTAAACATTCATATGACCAATCTTCCCCTCTCATGGAGATTGTATTTATTTATGCTTTTTTACCCTCGACCTACTTCATAAAGAACAAAGTAGCAAATTTTCAATGAAAATGACCCATTCAACTCATGGCCTGGAGGGGTAGGGGGAGAAAGGGATAGAGATGGTTATAGAGGGAGACTGCCTGAGTATTATTCTGCGGCAGCATTAGCAAAAATAATACCTGGCCACCTAAAGGCACATTGTATTTCTCTCAGGTCCAGAAGAGAACAACAAACTCTCTCCCAAATGGATTAGTACCATCTGAGCAAAGTTTAGGGGCTATTTCTGCTGCAGTCTGGAATGAGCTTTCCTGGCTGTTAGCAAGAGTATATTTGGGAACTCTGGGTTCTATGTTTGGAGTACCTGTACGGTAAGGGAGGCACAGGTGTGTGGCTTTGATTTTCCTGGTTCTTTCCTGACATTCAGATGTACAAGAAACAGATCATCCTGCTTTTGACGGGAAGATCCAGAGCCTCTTGATTATAGCTCCAGAGCCCTGGGAGAGACACATATTTTGGGAGTTGTTCTGGTGGCCACATTTTCTCAGGAAATACTGATGTGGAAATTTGGCTATAGTGGATGTCTGTCCGGTGAGGAGTGTCCCTGGCTGGACTCAGTCAGCTGTTTTGGGTGGGGGCAAAGCTTAGTGGGTGTTAGTAAGAATCAAGTGACTCTGCTCTTCCTTGGGAGAGGAAGAGAGGAAGGACCAGGCCCAGGGGACAAAGCAAAATTATCAGATGGGACAGACTTGTTGTGTGACAGTCACGTCCCCTGGCATTTATAATAGGTCTAGGAAATCTCTGATGTAGAAAGATTTGTCAGACCACTCCCAGCGAGTGACCTGCTGTAGAAGTGCTCATGTATGTTTGAGGCCACTGAGAGGGACCTTGGTTTGTTGAGCACCTACTAGGCACTGGGTGTGGTATGTACATGATCCCCAGTTCCCCTGATCAGGGAAGGAAGAGTCTAGATCTATGTGGAAAAGGGCAAGTGCAGCCCCCAAGGTCAACATGCTGTCACAGCATCCCTAAGGGGAGGCTTAAATGTTAGGGCTAAGAGAGAGGGATGGCTAAAGTATTGAATGGGTCTTTCTTCAGGGTTAAAGCTGATGCAGTTGCAACAGGAAGAATCGTGGATCAAACTCTGTGTCTGGGGACCTCCTACCTGAGCAAGCTGGACCACAAGGCTGAGGATTAGTAGAAATAGAAGATAATGCAAGTAGAGTCCATTGGGATGGTTCAAATCCTCAAAGTCCTGTGATGTCAGCCAGGGGGCACCTGACGCTGAGCTCACTGGGGGAATGAAGTCTGGCTTTACATCTCCTCACGGAGGTCGGGAAAGCTATTGGGGGTAGGGATGCATGCTGGGTCCACAGCTGAGAAAGGTCTCTCCAGGGTCCCCTCGACTCCATCGTGACTCTCGCCCTATGATGGAAAGAACGACACCACAAAGGCCCATCTTGCTGGAGACGTGTAAGGCACTGACTAGGATGTGTGCAAGATGGATACTCACTGAGGATTTCTTCCTTGTTTGGGTGAAGAAAGGGGAAGTGAGAGGCCCTGGCTTTGCAAGAAGCCTACACTGTGGAGGGGAGTTGGGAGCTGATCTGAGAGGATTGCTAGATCTGCCCTGGTGGTCAGCCAACTCCAGGAAGGAGGCCAGGGTGGTGGAGGACCTGGTTGCTGTGCAAATCTCTTTGGTCAGGACTCCAAGAAAGTGGCAAAGTGGTCAGCACACCCAGGCTTCCAGAGGATTCCAGGAATATCTTAGCCCAAGCAGAGAAGCGTGGAAGGGCTCTGGTAGGCTCAAGGACTCTGGCCATTAGAGTCCTGGCTACTCAGGGTGTGGTGCAAAGAGGAATGAGGCCTGTATGAGTCAGGTTTCCATTACTGTGACGAAACACCTGAGATGGTCAACTTTAAAGTAGGAAAGGTGGGCTGGGGATGTGGCTCAAGCGGTAGCGCGCTCGCCTGGCATGCGTGAGGCCCGGGTTCGATCCTCAGCACCACATACAAAGATGTTGTGTCCGCCAATAACTGAAAAATGAATATTAAAAGTCTCTGTCTCTTTTAAAAAATAAAAATAAAGTAGGAAAGGTATATTTTGGCTCACATTTTTAGGGTTTTCAGTCCCTTGTTGGTTAAGCCCATTGCTTTGGGGCCTGTGGTGAGGTAGAATATAATGGTGGGGAGTATGGGATGAAGCTGTTCAGCTTGTGGTGCATGCTGGGAAGCAAAGAGAAAGAGAGACAGGAAGAGGCCTGGGGTCCCAAGAGCCCCTTCAAAGCCACATTCCCAATGACCTAACTTCCTCCAATTAGGCTCCACCTCCTACTAAAGGCTTCACCACCTCCCAGTGGTGCCTTGGGCACAAGTGAACCTCTGATGTATGGGCCTTTGGCAGACATGTAAGTTCTTCAGCGTGAGGAGATGTAAACCCAGATGGCAGATTGGAGCTGTATAAAGAAAATGAAGAAATGGGAGTTCATAACCCACTTGAACCTAATGTATGAAATATCATATGTCAAGAGCTTTGTAATGTTTTGAACAACCAATAAAGAAAAAAAGAAAAAAAAAGAAAATGAAGAACACAGCAAAGGGTAACTATGTATGTGGATAAATAGTCATATATAAAAAGTTCCAACATTTTTTCTTTGAAATATTGACTATTTATTTATTTTTTCTCTGCTGGGGATTTAAACCCAGCGGTGCTATACCACCAAACTATATCCCCAGACCTTTTAAATTTTATTAATTTTGAGACAGGATCTCCCTTAGTTGCCAAGACTGGCTTTGAACTTGGGATCCTCCTGAGTTTCTGGGATTACAGGTGTGCACCACTGTATCTGTCTGGGGGACATTAAAGATCCTACCAGCCAAGACCTGCAGCCGGCTATGGAACGTCAAGGTCCTTAGTTAAGAGCAACTACAGGAATCTTTCCTGGGAGTGTCTTTAGTCATGGAGAGGGAGCAGGGTAGAGCAGTCTTCTAATAACCTGGTAGGGCCATGGTAGAGGAGGAGCTGGTCTTGTGAAAGAGACCTGAGTCCAGGGCCAGGAGGCTGTGGAGTGTGATCTGCCAGCTCCAAGACAGGCCCCAGATCATGCCCACAGACCTGGGGCCCCGGTGTGTGGGAGATTTCCACCAGTCCTGCAAGATGCATCAACCAGCTCCTGGAGGAACCGGATAGAGGAGGGAGGCCGAATCTCCATCCTAGGGAAGACCTGGAGAGTCTGACATGGGGTCAGGACAGGTGCTGTGGCTGGTCATGTCCAGTGGTTATAGGGCCGAATGGGGACCAGGAGTTCCTTGGAGCCTGCTCTTACTTGAACTGGAGAGAAGAAATTAGGGACCTAGAAGATGCCATAACACATCTGCAAAAACTCACAGAGCTTTTGGGAAATAATTTTGGATGGGTAATAAGATTGGAATGCAAATACAACAGAACTTTTCTTTAAGTAGGTGCTGTTGTTAGAATCCATGGTCTAGCTGGAAGGCCTAGATCTCAGGGGCACTGCTGTGGTTTGAACGTGATGTGAGTTTATTCTCTCTCTCTCTCTCTCTCTCTCTCTCTCTCTCTCTCTCTCTCTCTCTTTCTTTTTCTGGTGCTGTGGTTCAAACCCAGTCCTTGAACATGCTAGGCAAATTTTCTATCACTGAGCTACACCCCAGTTCAAAAGCCAGCCTCAGCAAAAGTATGGCATTAAGCAACTCATTGAGACCCTGTATCTAAATAGAATACAAAATAGGGCTGGGGATGTGGCTCAGTGGTGGAGTGTCCCTGAGTTCAATCCCACTATCAAAAAAAAAAAAAAAAAAGAAAAGAAAGAAAGAGAAATTTAAAAAAATGTCTGAGGCTGCAAGTTTAAGTACTTGCTCTTTTTCTGTTCTGCCTTCTGCCATGGGATGACAGAGCAAGACCTTCAGCAGATACCAGCACCTTGACTTTGGACTTCCTAGCCTCTAGAACTGTAAGAAATAAATTTCTTTAACAAATTACCCAGTC